TCCCTTCAAGTTCTTGTCTTTGTCCACGTCTCCCTTCTTGCCTCCGTTCTCGTCTCTGTCGTTGTCTTCGCCCTTGTCATCCTTCTCGATGTTCTCGTCTACCGTCTTGTCTTTGTCCACGTTTCCCTTCTTGTCTCCCTTCTCGTTTCCCTTCAAGTTCTTGTCTTTGTCCACATCTCCCTTCTTGTCTCCCTTCTTGTCTCCCTTCTTGTCTCCCTTCTTGTCTCCCTTCTTGTCTGCCTTCTTGTCTCCCTTCTCGTCTCTATCGTTGTCTTCGCCCTTGTCATCCTTCTCGTCTCCCTTCTTGCCTCCCTTCTTGCCTCCCTTCTTGTCTCCCTTCTTGTCGCCCTCCCCGTCTCCCACCTCATCTCCCATCTTGTCTCCCTTCTTGTATCCCTTCTTGTCTCCCTTCTCATCTTCCTCCTCATCTTCCTCCTCGTCTCCGTCCTCGTCTCCCTTCTTGTATCTCTTCTCGTCTCTCTTCTCGTCTTCCTCCTTCCTGTCCTCCTTCTTCTCGTATAGCTTCCTGTTATCTTTCTCGTCATATTCCATCATTTTGTACTTTCCCTTTTTGTCTTCTTTCTCATCCTCCTCCTTGCCTTCGCACTTTCCTTTCTTCTTGTCTTCTTTCTTGTCCTCGTGCTTGTCTTCGAGGTCCACCCTAGTCGCCTTGTTCAGCCTCATCTTTAACTCCTTACTCATCCTGTCTCTTTCAATGCGGGTGGCAGGAACGGCCATGGAAGTTCGTATTGTGGCTAGGAGGAAGAGGAACACCACACAGCCAGTAGTGGCCAGGTGCAGCCACCTGGATTGACCAGGGGCTGTTGCTGAAATAGACTTCATGGTGTCAGGCACGCGATAGCCCAACTGCTGCTGAGGGTTCACTAACGGTTGCACAAAGGTCTACGAGCTATGTCGAGACCGTCGCGGTGATGCCGATGGACTGCTTATTCACACCCATTGGACGGTAGAGCAGGAGCTGTGCTAGAGAAAGTTGTGTTCAAGGTGGCTGTCTATCCAGTCTCAGCCGGTGCCTGGCAGTCAGTTGCCTCATAGGTCTGCCTGGGCATCCTGCACAGGTTCTGCTGAGTGCACACCTTGCATATATACCAGTACAGATTGAGTGAAGCTCATGACTTGCATACCATTTTTATCTGGCATTTGAGTTTGTTTCGTAACAGACAGACAGGCAGGCTTGGGGGCATCACTTGTGCAGTTTAGGTGCATTATATCAATAGTGTCCCTGTAGCCAGATCACCTTCTGTCTGTCTGTCTGTCTGTCTGTCGGTCTCTCTCATACTGAACTGAAATCATGGGTGGTGGTAGAATGCTTCAATTCCATGCACTCTATACTCAGGGGTGCCCATAACAACTCACCCACAGCTGTACGAAGTCAATGGCAAACTATCACCTGAATAGAACACCCGGTCACTATGGCTGCATCTGGACTGAAAGTATTCACCCACAGCTGTACGAAGTCAATGGCAAACTATCACCCGAATAGAACACCCGGTCACTATGGCTGCATCTGGACTGAAAGTTTTCCCAAATACGGCTATAATGACCGGGCGTTCTATTCGGGTGAAGACGGTAGTCATTTGCTTTGAGGGAAGAGAAAAGGCGCAACTTTTGGAGTGGAGTATGTCCTTCGTACGAAATCATAGTGCGTACTGTTTTTTTTTTTGTTTTTTTTTGTTTGGTAACCCACATGCACACAAGCCCCATCTGTTGTTGTGGGGGGCACCAGTGCTGGTTGCTTATCACCGGCAAGCATGTTTGCACATCACACAGGGAACATAGTGCATATTGTAATTTTCACTACTTTCTACATTTAAACACCATCCTAAACCACAAGTGCTTCCGGAAGTCGCAGCTTGCATGCTGCCAGCCACTGCAACAGTGCTGCGGCTTTCACTTGAATGAATTTATGCCAGCGCCCCAGGCCCGTTCATCACAGAAAATTGCGGCACACATGCGGCCACAACTTTTAGGAAGTACTGGTGGTTTAATCCTTAAAAGAACACTCAGGAAGGATGAAAGGCAGTGCACAGTACCCATGGGTAAATGTTTGAAAATTTATTTCCAACATTCTTGATTTTGGAATGCTGATAAAAACTGGTTACAAATTTACAACGTCCGTCCCACCCGATCCGCCTGCTGTGCTGGGGAGGACTGGGCAAGGCGGGCAAGAGGTGGATTGCCTGGCCAATCCGGGTGGGCAGGAGGGGGCCAATCAGAGCGGGTCTGGGCTTTTCTTGTGCAAAAATATGCAGAATTTGCAATCTTTTTCGAAAACAAAAACAACACGTGAGTTTTGGTGGGTGGACAAAAGAAAGAAAGAGACAACTGCGCCTGGGACCGCTGCACAGTTCAGCATTCGCAGAAATAACAGTCCACTGCAAGATTGGGACGTGAACAGTTCGAAACAGCAAGAAAAACAGTAAACTATGCGTTCGACAGCCTACCGGTTCAATAATTGGCAAAAACGGGATGTGGCCTGGGCTAGTGGTACCTCCCTTTATCCCGTGGCCTGGCCTGGGAGCAGGTACCGGTAGCAGGCCCTCCCCTTTTTTTTGTTTTTTTCCCCCCGTTTTTGGCTTCTGGCGGGATCCATTGGGGCTGGAAAACGATCCCACTTGGTCAGTACAGGAAAAGCCACCTACCTTGCCACGTGCCCCGTTAACACCCACCCCATTCTCTCTCTCTCTCTCTCTCTCTCTCTCTCTCTCTCTCTCTCTCTCTCTCTCTCTCTCTCTCTCTCTCTCTCTGTGCTGCTCGGCCCACCAAAGTGCAAATGTATCTGGTCCATTGTCTGCATCAGATACATTCGCACCATTTTTCTGTTGTTCTGCTGGACCGACCAGGGTGCCCAACCGGGCCCGGATGGGCTGGGGTTGCACGGGCAGGCATGGGGGGACTGAGGCTCCCCTGATTGTAACACAGAATCCGATGGTCCAAGAACTCCTATTGGTGGGGAGCATCACCTGCTGGAAAACGGGTCCAGCGTCCCATTGATTACTCTGGCTTCAGAGGATTGACTGAGCAGGTTAAAGGAGAAAGGGAAAGAACCTCTTCACCCTGTGCCGGGTGCCGGATATCAGCTACTGCAACCTAGTTCCTCCCTCCCTAGACCGCTCCTCTACGCCCTGTGTCTGGCACCGGATATCAGCTACTGCAACCTAGTTCCTCCCTCCCTAGCCACTCATTTCTCTTCTGCATCTCTTTGCCTTGCCTTGTGATGCCCAACCGAGCCTGCCAAAATTAATGCCGAGCATCCATTTACTTGGACTTGGGTTGGGTGGGTGGGTAAGGGAAGGGTGAGGGGTAGACTCCGTTAGCCTGTGGATAAACCTTGGATCCTAGTCTCTTGTCAAAAACCTTTTTTTGAGTTCATCCCTCTCCTTTCCATACCACTGCATTTCTACTAGAGATGTAAATGGGGGGGGGAAGAAATCGGGGAATTCATCGGGGGGTTTCAAGGGGATAGCCGTATCAACTTTGGTCCATTCGTGGAATATCAGTCGGTAGTCCCATACCATCTCCATTCTCCCTTGGTCCTCCCCTAATTCCTTTCGCTTCCCTTTCCATTCTACCATTCCTAACCTCCCACCTTCTATCCCCCCAAGCCAGCTTGAGCTGAATTCCTGTATTTTTTGTTTAATATCCTTATGCGTGCTTAGGAATCGGATCTGTGCTTTGGCACCTTCCCATTTTGCAGTTATGCTTTCTGTAAACTCAGGTCCTTCTAGTCTCGCCCCCTCCATCTCAAATGTACAGCGTCCTCTCTAGAGTGCCCAGAGTACCGCCCTTTGTCCCAATTTGAACATGTTTTTGGTAAAATCATCGGGCTGGTCTGTTTGACCCTTGGGCCAGGCTTCACACAGCAAAGCCTTCCAGTCCCAGGGCCATGGGGGGCTTTACTCCTACCTGACCCCAAACTCTATCCCACCATCTCCACAGCCAGAGTGCTCCTCGGCATTGTAGGAATATGTGTTCAATTCGGGCCGTTTCCTGGACGGGAACGTGTTCATGCATAGCTTGCACCATGGGAGGGCACACCCTCTTTGCTCCAGGGACGTTCTATCTATCAGCCAATTGTTTGTTGGTAGGCAACGATGTTCAAGCTGCCATTGGAGTGACGCTAGTTTAGCCGGTTTTGCCTTAGCCATCTTAAACCATCTTATTGGTCTCAACTCCTCTTTGCTGATGTTCAGGTGGCGCCTCCAACGCTCCTCCACCTGGTCTTGAAGGTTAGCCTTGGGTCTTAAGAGTCTGTAGGTTGATTTGACTGTTAAGCCATATAGGGATTTGGTGTGTCGCCTGCCTTTCCCCATTTGGGTTGTCCATGCCCATTCCAAAGGGTCCAGGGCTAAGTGATGAATCAGAGTGTTGGGGAGATAGACCATCCACTGCCGTTTTTCAAAGAGCACTCTAATTCTGAACAATTCCTCTCTTTGGCATGTTATCGTTTCCTCCGGGGTGCTCCTTTGGATAGCGTTGTCTCGCCCTACTTGGAAGAGGCTCACTACTACCGATCCTTCTGGGGGGCAGCAAACAACATTACCCACTTCTCCTTGGCGCACCCGGAATGCCACCCAATCCGACTCCTGCAGGGTGGGGCCTTTGCGGAGGATCCTCCACCGGGCTAGGGGGATTTTTTCTACTACTGCCTTATGGGCTTCGTTGGGCTGGTGGCAGTACCTCAGTCTCTCCCGTAGCTGTCCCGGACCTATCCAGTCCTTATTTGTGTCCCATATATCTTTTATCCTTGTTACTCCTCGCTTGACCCAACCCTGCCAAGGGGAGTCCATGCAATGGAGCGTCTGGCCCCTAGAGTCAACAATCCATTTGTTACCAAAGAGAGGTTGACGTGCCACCTCCTCCCATCTTTCAGGCGAGGATTTATCGGGTAGGGGGAGGTTTCTCCATGTCCTGAGGAGGGTGGGTCATAAGGGGTCGTTTCGTAAATCCACCTTTATTGCTTGTCTGGGAGAGTTAAGGTGGGGGTCATGTTGCTGCGACCTTGATTTTGGGATGGGCCAACCCCTATTTTCCAACGACATTAGCGGGTTGCTTCCTTCTGGTGTTTGTGGTGCTAACCGGAAAATTTGTTCCAGCGCTAGCTCTCTCCATGAAATTTCAAGTTTGAACAGCAAGTGTTTGAGCCACTGTATTGCCAACGCTTTAATTTGTGTTAAGGGGTCAATGATGCCTAGGCCCCCTTTTGATTTGGGTTGGATTATGGAATGTCATGCCACTCGGCCGACCACATTTTGTTTTTCGTGGTCGCCCAACCACAAAAAGACGACAATCTGGCGTTGCAAAGAGCGTAAGGCATTCTTGTCAAATGCTCAGATTGTTGCTTTGTACCACAACTAGGTCAAGACTACGTTAAATGCCCAGATTGCTGCTTTGTACCACAACTAGGTCAACACTACGTTATTGAGAATCAGGGAGCGTCCAAACAGTGAAGTGGGTTTATACTTCCAAAGTGCCATTTTTGCCAGGGGTGGACTAGAGAGTTAAGACCCATTCATTGTTAGTGGAAGGTCTACCTTATGCCATCATCGATATTCCCAGGACTCTGATGGGGGCTTCTTTGGGGAACCATTTGAGCCTGGGTTGTTCTGGGGGTCTCACCCCTTGGTGGTGTATCCACCATCCTTGGGTTTTGTTTCCCCAGTTAACTCTCATATCTGATAGTTTGCAGAAACGGTCCATCATGCGTGGTACTTTGTCCATTGATTCTCTATATGCATGCACCATCAAGGTCATGTCATCTGCAAACAGTGAGCAGACTCGTATTGCCTCCTTGGGAATTGCTGCCACTTGAATTCTTTTGATGTCCTTATGTGTCCTCAGGTTGGATGCTAGTGCTTCCATGACTCTGAAAAAGAGATAGGGGGCTATAGGGTCCCCTTGTCTGACTGACCTTTGAAGGTTGATGGGCGGGGCTAAATTGTTGTTCACCATAACCCTAGTCGTTTCATTAACATGGAGGATCTTTATCCAT